AGAGAGAGAGAGAGAGAGAGAGAGAGAGAGAGAGAGAGAGAGAGAGATGTGTGCCTAAACGAGGCAAGTGGAAACATGTAGAGCGCATACCAGAAAGCAACAATTTCGCTGATCCGATCTCGTTCATTGAATTGCAACAATCGCGCGAGCGCTACAAGTGAGATACATTGACGCGCGCGGATGACTCGGCAACGTGTCCTCTCTCCTTTTCCCTTTTGCGCGGCGTCAAGACCGAAACGAGATGACCGGAGAGAGATTGACACGCCGCAGGTTTATATTGGCCTGGGTGTCGGGACTGATCTGGTCGGAGGTCAAGCAATTGTGGGATGTGGGCTTGGAGGAGTACGTGAACGACATGTGGAACGTGATCGACTTCGTAACGAACTCGCTCTACGTGGCCACGGTGGCGCTCAGAGTCGTAGCTTACTACAGGGTGCAAAAGGAGAACGAGGGTCAGTTGCCGGGGTCTCCAGTGATCGAGCTCCAACGTGAACAGTGGGACACGTGGGACCCGATGCTTATCTCCGAGGGCCTCTTCTCCGCCGCCAACATCTTCAGGTGATAAATCGCGGACGCTCGTGTGTCTCCGCAGTCACTCCGCAGTCTGAGCGCGGAATAGAACGCTCGCCGCAATAAGCTGTGAGACGGTTCGTCGGTTCTCTCGCGTCTCGCAGTCGTGTAAGGTAAAAGTACCAGTGCCTAATAACACCGGTACCTAACTCTGAACATTCTTGTTATTTTTGTCTCCAAAAATGGATATTAAAATTTTCAATATAGAGAATGTATACAGGATGCAACATCTTTAAATTAGAACATTAAATATATGTATATATATACATTTATTTATTTATACTTTCAACATAAAAAATATGTTTTCTTACGTTGAAAGTATAAATATTCGTACTTAAAAAGAAAAGCAAAATAATAAGAATGCTCAAAGTTATGTACCAGTGTTATTTAGTGTCCAGACATTGATAATTTTATCTGAAATGTCACAGATCGAATCGATTTCGCGAGATGACGAATTATGGAATAATGTGACATTTGGCTACGATCATTTCGGCATTTGCGTACTACCTCATATATGCATTGCCGCGTATCGCTTTCAGAACGCGCATGAATTACTGATCGCATCGGTAAGTCGATACTGCAAGGCGCGATATTACGCGAAACCTCGAGATATAGAGAAAGAGAGAGAGTTAGTTGAGAAGATCGCTCCGCGCCGTCGCCACCACACTATCCACGTTACTAAAAGCGAACAATGTTACATTGTAGCTCGCTAAAACTCGTCTACATATTCTCTGTGAATCCTCACCTCGGTCCGCTGCAAGTTTCCCTGTCGAGGATGGTCATGGACATCATGAAGTTCTTCTTCCTCTATGTGCTGGTGCTCTTCGCCTTCTCGTGCGGTAATATCACGCGCTAATAGAGACTCGCGATTAAGCATAGTAAGATGAGTCGTTACGAAAGAAAACAAATGTTTCTCAGGTCTCAATCAACTTCTATGGTATTACGCCGATATGGAGAAGAAACGATGCCCCACGGCGATGCCGTACCCACCCAACGCGAACGTTACCACCGACAGCAACGCGTGCATCGTTTGGCGCCGTTTCGCCAAGTACGTGAAGCAACTTTTGCACGCATATCTGTTTTTTATGCATAACGCACCCCACTTGCCTGCACAAGAGATATATAAAGTTAAGTAGTTCTATTTGAGTTCACGAGGCGAGAAAGAATGCTGACTCGGATCTCGGCGCTGCAGGATTTATATTTTGCAGCTGAAACATTTCTTATCATTACGTTTGTCTACTCGACAGTTTGTTTGAAACCATACAAACGCTCTTCTGGGCGGTCTTCGGTCTGGTGGACCTCGAGAGCTTCGAGCTGGACGGTATCAAGGTCTTCACTAGGTTCTGGGGTATGCTGATGTTCGGCACTTACTCGGTCATCAACATTGTCGTCCTCCTGAATCTCCTGATCGCCATGATGAATCACTCCTATCAACTAATTTCCGTAAGTGCAGCTTTTTCGATCTCGCGCGCGACACGGCGTCGACGTTGTATTGTGTGTGTGTACATACAACTGTAAGTACTGTAAGTAACTGTAAGTTCTGTAAGTTCTGAACTTAAAGCGGAAACTTAAAGCAATCTAGGCGAATGACAGAACGCACACTCGCGATCTCGTCGACGTTAATCAGCGTCAAATACGAACGTTAGTCAAGCCGGATTTATTCGCCGCGAATAATTAATTAGCGAATGTAAACGCGAGACTCGCGATGGAACAACGCTGTCGGCGCGTACGCGAGAACACGCCCATTGTAGAACCGTATGACAGTTTTCACATTTACAATCAAAGTCGAAGCTAATTAGCCCCGGGGTGACTCGGTGTTCCCGATCAGGAGCGCGCCGATGTCGAGTGGAAGTTTGCGAGGAGTAAACTTTGGATCAGCTATTTCGAGGAGGGTGGGACCGTGCCGCCGCCGTTTAACATCATACCGACCCCGAAGAGCGCCTGGTACGTCGGACAGTGGATGTACCGGAAGCTCTGTGGACACAGCAGGGCCGCCAAGAAGGAGCACATGCGGACTATCCGGGTGAGCGACAGTTACCTCGGGACTTTTCAGGGAAGGCGGAATGCCCGATGCCGCCTTTGTGGCGCGGAATCCTACGGGAGATCGGCAGCCAACTACCGATTCCCGAACTCAAGTTCTTCTCTCTCTCTCTCTCTCTCTCGCCGTCCCTTTCTTCGCGAGATGCAAAGCAAGCGGCGAAATAAGATGTCAGTACCAGAATATTGCGAGGAACTCGGTGAATTTTTAAAGAATGATGAAAAATGCACTACGCCGTCGTACGACAACGACGAATGGATTCTTAGGAATTTCGCCGGAGTCGCAGCGCCGTTTTGAATTTTAAAATTTGATTCCTATACGCGCGGAGAAAGTAGCGGGAATATTTGGAGGAAACTTTTCGTGTACTAGAAGGAAAGAAAAAGAGAGAGAGAGAGAGAGAGAGAGAGAGAGAGAGAAGAAGAAGGGTCGAAACTCTTTTAGAGCTTCTAGAAAATATTAGATTCGCGGAGAAGTTCTCTCTCTCTGTGAATTTAGTGGCCGCTTACTATCGTTGCATCGTGCAAACTTATAAATTGAACGTATATACGGAATTTCCTAGAACTATTTTCCTTTATCTACGGATTCCGTGACAATCTCGGTGCTTGCGAGAAAAGACAATTGCTAACAACAACAAGTTCCGAGTTATAACTTATTGAAGATAAGGGATTTCTCACTCACATACAGAAGATCTCGAAAATTTATATTTTATCTAATTTCCAATACGTCTCATTGTTAGATTAGATTTTGGAATTGACTTGAGAAATGAAAGAATTAAGATATACATAATACTGAAAATTTGTCGACAACCTGGCGTTTGTTTCCCTCAGTATTTTCGTTGAGAAAAACTCGAATACGCGTCGACTAAAAAGTTTACGTTTGGGAGGTGACTCGACAGTCCGGAACATATTGTACAGAGCGCATGTGTAACGAGGTCTCCTGAGAACTTACGTTTCCAATGTCTAACTTTTTTCTCAGCGAAAAGTGAAACAAGCTTCTGAGCGAGACTTCAGGTACCAGAGCATCATGAGAAATTTGGTAAGACGATACGTCACTGTGGAGCAACGGAAAGCAGAAGGTGAGGGTGTCACAGAGGACGACGTGAATGAGATCAAGCAAGATATCAGCGCATTTCGCTGCGAGCTCATCGAGATACTGAAGAACTCCGGCATGAATACCTCCACCGCGGCGAGCAGCGGCACCGGTAAGTGTCAACGAGACAAAGAACCAATCGATATTGTTTCGTGTTTAGAAAAAAAGAAAATAGAATCGCTCATATACCTGGATATTGCATGAAACGCACAATTTCCAATATTGACTGCGGATCAAATGGCGATAATTAAGAAATAATTTAGTTATATACGGTTTAAATATGTAGTTCTCAGAGCTAACATTTGGTTGTTTGAACTTCATACATTTGGGTCATAAAACTGTATTTTGGAAATTAATATCAAATCTTAACAGCAAAAAAATAAGATATTTGGTAACTATTACTGAAGTTTGTGTTTGAAATAAAAATTGTTTTAGATGATTTTTTACTTTATTCGAAAAATCTCGTTGTACTCTATTTAAACTATTTTAAGATATATGATTTTTCATCTTTTACACATCACTAAGTCTTTTTTTAACTCTATACGTGAAGTTCCGTTAAATAAATGAAGTTCCTGTCTGTGGTTTCATTCAATTCCGCAGTAACCGCCCATTCTTTCCCATATCTTTGTCAAACCCGCCCACTCGTTGTTTTACCTTACGATCGAACAGGAACTGATGAGTCAATCACTAGTTTACCGCCAACTTTATAAGTTCTGACAATATCTTTGTGCTCACACTTACAACTTATAAGGATATAACTAATATATCCTTATAATTTTTCAAATGCTTACTAGTAAACATTGAAAACAACAGTCGATATGTGACAAATATCGATAAGTAATAAATATCGATATAGATATAGTTGATAGTTACCAAATACTTTGTTATCTTAAAATATTAATAGTTACCAAATATTTCGTAAAACCGAAATGAATGATTTCATAACACTTATCAAACATCTATAATAGTCAGATAGTAATTAGATTCTTGATAACGAATATTTAGTAATTATTATTGAAATCTTTAGTCCATTTGGCTGTTATTGAAAGTTCTTTGCTCAAATAATTTGCCTAAATAATTTAGTAGCGACTACTAAATTTTGGTACTTGTTAAGAAATCCTCCTTTCAGTAGTGTGTATAGTTCCTCCTTTCATGTGTGTGTATAGTTTGTGCGCGTGTAAGTGCCGAATATACGATAACCGATATTGATCGCGAGCATTAATTCGGATGTGCAAATTAATACATTTAATCGAGACCATACCTCATTATAAACTTCGTTCAACCGAGAGGATCCCGCGATAATGTACAAATGGAATGTGCGGAATCATTAATCTGCCACCGATTCTGGAAAAGCGACACAATCAAACAATGTTTTGACTCTAAACAAATGCGCGTTCAACGCGGTTAACGAACGCCGCGAGTTAACGAGGAGAATTATACGAGCAACGCGCTGCGCGCGTCCCCAATATCCCCCGCAAATTGTTAATCACTTCGCGCGAAACGCCGAAACTTCCGAATCCAACATCGCGGCGGTTACGCGCCAAGAGCCCAGGATCGTTATTTTATTCGTTCGCCGCATTAGTCACCGTGCGACTTGTGATTCGAAGTTAAAGAAAGCGCGCATTAATCACTCGGGTTCCACGGCTAATTGCCGTAATTAAGGATTTCTCGCTGGCTGTTCGGCCACTCGAGTCACTCGAATCTCTGCTTGTTCGTGAGAAGAGAGCGATCGACGAAAACGATCAAGACGAAATGACTTCTTGCTCGCGAGTCAACGTCGTCCTAATTGAATGAAGGTTAAGCGAGTCAATTCAATTCGAGTCGCAGATTGCCAGCCGCGATCGGTCCGAGCATTTATTTCCAGTCGTTTCCTTGATCTCTCGATAGACAGGCCGTAGATCGCCCGTCGACTTTCCGTCTGTCCCGTAGACGCTAGCATTAAAGAGCTGTCCACAGGTGCGGGCGGCAAGAAGAACCGCCAGAAGGAGCGGCGTTTGATGAAGGGTTTCAACATCGCGCCGCAGCCGGGCGGGAGTGGCACCTTGCCGCCCGTGGCCGAGTTTATAGCGTCTCTGCAGCAAGTGCAGCATGAGAACTCCCATCACGAGCTATTTGGCTCCACTCTGAGCGGCATATTCGGGCCGGGCACGACCCCGAAGAAGAGCCCACATCATACCAGCACTAATAGCGTGCCGGGACTCACCACCGGGCCGCGACAAAGCCGCGGAATCAGAGGTAGCTCTAGGAAAAAGCCTTGGGGCACTCTGATCGAGGCGGCGAAAGCCGGCAGAGTCTCTAGACTGATCGGTAAGTCGATCAAAGTTACCTCGCATTAACGTTTCTGCCCTTAATTAGTATACGAGCTGACTGTAGCTCACCTGATCGCTGTACACTGAGAGAAAAATTATCTTAAAATCAACAAATATTTCCTTGGTGGGTGCCATTAACATATTTACTTAAATCTACATTCTCTTTACTTAAATCAAATATTGTTTACTTGATTTAAATAAACAATATTTGATTTAAGTAAAGAGAATGTAGATTTAAGTAAATATGTTAATGGCACCCACCAAGGAAATATTTGTTGATTTTAAGATAATTTTTCTCTCATTGTATAGACGCGAAATTTTGCTTCACCTTTTAATTTCTCACGAAGAACGAAACGTGTGAAAATGTAAATTTTAGATTTGCATTTGATTAGAGAATATTTATAAGAGGTGTAGAAAAACGAACGGGAGATTCTCCTTTATTTATGTATTTTGTTTTCTGTCCTCTGCTAATTTCAAATTGTAGCAATTAATGCGGTAAACAATCAACGCGGTAACTGGCGCACGCGTCAATTGATTACCTCGTAATTATCGATACCTCGCGGTTCGCGCCGATATTGTTATTTGTTGCTCCTGCTCCGTTGCGACGGAGATGACAATAGAGAGCCGCATCATAAATAGGCGAACGTTGCTCCCTCCTCTCAGGTAGATCTCGTTCGGAGGACTCGGTGTACTCACCGGCGTCCGACGACGGCGGCTCACGATCCGACGGCTCCTCGGACTCCAAGTCCTCCTTGGAGACGCCCACCGCGAGCCACGACGCGCCAGTGCAGCCTCCTCATCACTCGCATCACCACGTGCATCATCACGAGGCGCATCACATGTTCGCCCACGGTCTGGGCCCGGCTTTGGCCGCCCTGAGGAAGAAGCGCAAGAAGTTCTCCGTCTCGAGGTCCTCGACGCCCGCGATGACCAGCAGCACCAACACGAACCCCGCGGACTCGAGCGGCACGATGCTTCCGATCGCCAGCGCCTTGGTGTCCAGGGTCTCGAAGAAGCAGCTGCAACGCGCCAGCAGCGTGCCCACCAGGGGTCCCGACTTAACGCCGCAGTTGATAGTGCCGCGACGGCACGAGGTCACGCAGAGCCAGCAGCCCAGCCTCGACGTCGTCGAGATCGCCAGCATCAGCGAGCAGCAAGGTGAGAAGCCCGATATTGTGGTATACCGTGGCCTGTTGTTGCGCAAGGACGTGTAGCAGATAAGGCTATATCGCGCGTGTAATCGCGCGACTATTGACTGCTTGGTCCTGGCTATCGAGACTCGCAATTAGAATAAGATCTGACAGATAAGCGAGGCCACGGTCAAACTGCAGCTACTTAAACTGCAGGCACTTAAAAGCTTAACGCGTTCGGGCACGCCGCTCTCGTGCTTCATATTATAGAGATATGTGAACGGGCGCTCGAATGGAAGAGCTTATCGGGATTATTAATTCTGAAGTTTCCTCGAATTCGACATTTGCTGTATAAAGGGAAGCGAAGAGAGAGCGCGGTGAGAAGAGAGAGAGAGAGAAAGAGAGAGAGAGAGAGAGAGAGAGAGAGAGAGAGAGAGAGAGAGAGAGGAGAGAGGAGAAGGAAGGCTCATGACGCTCCTCGTGGACGATTTCCAGGTGTTGTCAGCATGGTACCGCTGACACCGTCGACCACCGAGGAGAGCGTGGTGGCGAGCGGCTCGACGTCGATCACCGTGAAGCGAAACGGATCGGCGACGCAGCTGCAACGTCTTCCTGGCATCGAGCCGATTTCCGGTCACGACGTGTCGGCCGGGTGGCTCTGAGGAAACCGACGTGTCGCCAGCGGGCGACAACAGACCAGTTGACACAGGAAGAGCCAGTCGGAACTCACCGAGCTTCGTTTTCAACGGCCGTGAGGCTAGGACGACGCCGATGTGACACGATCGCAGCAACGCGGCGCGACCGTCCCGGCGTCGGCAGACGCACAATGATGCCTTTCTCGCGACGACGCGCCATGCCGATTAAACGTAAGAGTGACGTCGATCGGGAATCTCGAAGAACCTCTCCTCCACCCTCTTCCCTTCCCATCTCTCCATCTCTCTCCTCTTTCCCGCGTCGACCCACCGAGACGCTCCCTCCCTCGTGAGTGAGTATTCTCTGGTACAAGCGCGGCCTCGTTTTCGTCGTATTCGTTCGCGCGCCCGACGATAACGCGCGCAGCTCGATACTACCGACTCGAGTTATCAGCATGCGCGCATGTTCCTACACTGAAAGAAGAGCAGTTGGATCGACAAAATCGACGGTCACCTGCCTTCAAATGAAATATTGTATCTGTTGAACAAATTGCGTGTTAGCGCGACAGTAAGTTGCGTCGACACGATCACGGACCAAATCGCAATCATTGAATCAAGTGATAACTCATCACATAGCAACTATACAATTCGTTCAGTCGACTGAACGAACAGAGTTCGTTCAAGCAAAGTCTTATTAAGTCAACCACTTTGCCTATTACCCAGCTTTTCTCAGTATATTTATCGTATTTCTATTCAATTTTTCCACGAACGAATTAATTTGTCTTCTGGTCTTTTGTACGTACCGGAGAGTGTCTCGTGTCTTCGGCGATTTGACGATTCGGCTGCTTCTCATTTGGTGGTATCAAATTAAGTAAGGTAAAAACGGCACTTGAGTTCGCGCGCAGGCACACGCGAGAAAGTTCCGCGTCAATTGCGCGATATCTTATCGCGTGCTCCCGTCCCAAGATTCGTGGGAACCGCAAAATCTGTCGTGTACGAGCGTACGATGGATTTACCACGGGCCGCGCCAACTCTTCCGCTTCTATCGCACTTGGGGAGCATCGATCGAGCCCTTCTTGCGTGACTATCTTTGAGCGACGATCGACGGTAGATAGTACTGAGAATTACTACTATTACTACTACTGCCAGAACGGAAGTGGCACGTGGGTCGGCGGCGAATAGCCTAGTCAACACTAGTCACAGGAGATCTCATTAACAGGAAAAAAGGAAGGAGAAAGAACGACGCAGAGGAAACGACACAATTAACTACTACGTTGTTAAGTTAACTTAATCGAGGAACGACGAGTGGCTCGCGTCACTTCGCGGCGGAAGTCGCGAGTGGAAAGTCCAGGAGTCTGTCAAGGCGCCTTCAGACAGCCAGTCCTCCGAAGAACGAAACTCCTTCGCAGTTTCTTGGCTCCTCCTCCGGGAGCGCGATCGTTCGTTTCTTCTCGACGCTTCGTTTCTTCCGCGCATCTCTCACAGACTCGCTCCGATCGCAAACTGATCGGTACATTTCGTCGCAAATCGATGAGCAATTTTGATTGTTTCTTTTTTCGTTCTACGTAGCTTAGACAACGGCCACAAACGACGGCGTCGAGAAGGTAATTGTATTCTTCCGCGAGACGATCGCGCCGCAGATTGCACCAAGGGGACGGTTGGATCCCTTACAGTTCCGTTTCTTCGAAGGTCTTTCACTTTTTCTCTCTCCCTCTCTTTCTCTCTTTCTCTGTCTCTTGGGAGACCCAAGAAAGTAGTCGTCTTAACGATTCCCAAGGACTACATTCGCGACTACGCGCTCTTGAATTCCCGTAGTCGCGAACGTACGCGGCTCGCCCCTTAAGCGATCCAACGAATACCCTGTGCAATCTGCCTGCACTAAAGACTACCGAGTTAGCTACCGAGATCTTTCGTTACGTCGTCGAGTCGCCGGGGGACGCCGGATCGCACCGAGAGCGGCCAGGTCCTTCGCGAGAGGCGCAGAGGACGCAGCAGGAACAAGTGGCACGACCAAAGAAACACGCCGTAGCGTAGTCGAGTAGAGGCCTAACAGATGTGGAACGTGGAGAATCGTACTATTTCCTATAGATATTACGTGTATATGTACGTTAATAATAATAATAATGATTATTATCGTTAATGTTAAACGAATCGCGCGCGCGCGCGCGCGCGCGCTCAGTCAACACCACGGGCGAAGTCCTCCGAGAAGCGAGTCGCCCTAAGGGCACCTGTCCAATCGCGCCGTGCTCGCTTCGTCTCTCTCTGTCTCCCTCTCTCTCCCCCCTCTCTCTTTTCCTGTGTACTCGTCATCGATCCTCGCCCGTGGTTGTCTCGATAGCGCCGTAAAAACACAAGGAGATATAGTCATTATTGAAGCGCTGCACGCCTACCAAGCGAGCTAAACCGCCGCGTCGTCACGTAACTCCAAGTCACTCCGAGTGACGCGCGTTACGCGGAGAAAAAGAGAATACTTGACAATTTATTTCTGTAGGATGTAGAGTTTATTTCACAGAGATAAGGACTTTGTAATTCACTAGTCACTTTTCCAGTGTTTCTTCTCGGTGTAGCTTGAGTGAGGAATGGCGGGAAACGTTTGCACAAACGGGTGAGTTGTCACCGGTGATTTGGAGATGTTCAGAATGTCGAATCGCGCGAAGGGGATTATGTTCAACAGTAAATCCGCGTACACCTACCGTGATCTCTGAGTTACGTCTAGTCACGTCTAGTCTAGGATACAATATGACGGTTTGGCGCTCTTAGTAGATGTATAGCGATATCTAGTCGCGTTATACCGCCTACGTGTATTATTTATATGAGATTATTAATGTAACTGTGAAGCTAGATATCGCCAGTTGGCGGTGAGTCGTAGCGAGTGTTCGTTGTGACAGAAGAGAGGACGAGGAGAACCCACCATTAAAGCCGAGAGGAGAATCAGAAGGAAGAAAAAACAAAGAAAGGGAGTAATAAGCGGAACCAACTGACTTTAAGTAGACATCTAAGTCGCTCGCGCGCGAGATAGAAAACTCTAATACATTATTCAAATAACACGACAGTCTCTCTGCGAGTCCGATCGAATTTTTTCACGATTACACAGATTCGAGGACGACGTGTTCTCATCGCATCGCGCCGAAAGCAAAAGGAAACTAGAGAACAGTAAAAGAAGAACAGAAGCTCACGATCGCGACGAAGAACAGAGAGCCGCGAGCGAGAGCCCGCAGCAGACTTCCTGAGAATTTCCGGAATCTCGCGTGTTTCCCAAAGGCGGCCGATCGCGATTCCAAGTCCGCGGTGAATTACGAGCGTATGAATCACAATGCTGAAGCGCTAAGATAATACCTGACGCATTAATCGTTCGCGTCGACCGTGTGTTGCCCGAGGCGATTTAACTGCGTCTCAAAGCGCGCCGTGGTGGCGAAGGTGCGACGGAAAAGTAATCGGACAGATCCGGAATGAGATCGCAATCGGCGGTCTTACGGGCGCGACACGCCGGCGAGTCGTGCCGAACGACGTTTGCTGTCCTCTCGATGCCGCGAACTCGATATCGCGATCTCCCGTCACGCTGCGATTCGTCGCGATGCAACGACGGAGCTTAAACGGATTCGTGAGCGAAAGACGAGCACTCTTTATCCGACATAATGCGATTACATCGACACTCCGCATTGTAATATCGATTGAAATTCGATGGGGATTAGCAGACACCAATCGACACAAAATGACCATTAATAAAATATCATTTATTCTGATACATCCGCTCTTATTCCGTACCCAGCTTATTTTCTACCGAGGATAGAACCGCAACGTGATGTTTGTCGTTCGATTAATTACGAACGGTAAAAAAGAAAAGAGAAAGGGAGAACAAGAGGAGAAGAGAAATAAGAGTGAAGCAATATCTCGGCAGTGAACGACCGGCAGTAATGTACACCGATAGTCAATAAAAGCATCGATTAATATTTATCCCGCAACGTCCGACGTGGATCAATTTTGTGACATAAATCGTCTCTCATATTATTAAAATGTATAGCGTTCCTCTTTCGATACCCGACACTTGGAGACCTCTCTGGTCGAATTTGCTAATTAAGGCCGCATTGCTTTTCCGTTGTGATCTGCGGCGAACAAGGAAGCGATCTCATGGAGAGCTGCAGGCGCAGGTAATAGTTGAGGTGAATAGTTAATTAATGATTCATTTGCAAACGAGTGACGACAATCCACGTCGCGCATTCGCGTCGTACGACTTGAGTCCCGAAATTGAGAACTTATTTTCTCAGAAATTTGTTTTTACAGATTTTGTAGTGAGATTGCGTGTCATCAGAGAGCAACGTTTATCGCATGTATCCCAATTGTGACTCGCACTCATTGCGGAGATATCGTTATCAGTGAACAAAGAACATTGAATCGACATCTTGCGATATTGATTTTACGCGCATCTCTTGAACACGCGAGAGAATCACTGAATATTTTAAAAATGTTTCAAAAATATCGCCGAGCAAGATCTCTCCGTGAATATTGCAAAATTGTCTCGAAAATATTAAAGCGCCGAGGCGTACCCGTGGCGACGTTGATACAACGTTGAAAACTACATATTACAAGACGTTATACGCTATTGATCGTCGTTGCAATAACGTTCTATCGATGTTATTGTGCTTACTCATTACCTCTCAATTTTCACATGGCGCGAGCTCGCACCGGTAACGACGGGTCAACTTCTTCGGGCAAGCGCGGCCTCCGTTCTCGGCTTCTCGCTGAACAACAAAAGAAAATTATCGCGATACAGACGGAGTAAAGTATGCTTCATACACCGGCGTGTAATTTCGGCGAAGGCGCGTATCGCGAAGCAACGGGCGCGCATATTCACCGTTGCTAATTAGCCTACCTCGATAGTACGGTAGCTCAATACACGACCGACACCGCAAGTGACGCTACACGGCGTCCAGCTTGACCAACGAGTCACCACGCAGTCCACGGGAGGAGGATTAAACGATGCGGTAGGTAGCTCACTTTGGATTACGGTCCCGTTGAGGGGCTGGCCGGTGAGAGCTGCTCGTACCTGGAAACAGCGACTCGAATGACAGCACGCTCGCTACTCGTGTTGTTCCGGGTATGTCGACTTGCATTCGCGCTTACTATGCCACAGGTGTTGTCGCACTCGTCCGACGTAAGGAAGTTATTTCGATTGCCGCGGCATCCGCCGTACGCGAATGGCAGGCACATCAATTTCTGCGGATTGAAAGCCCACCTCTGGAAGTAACCCCTGCATGGCCCGGCGTCCGCCTCTTCCATGCAGACAACTGTAAGGCAGAATTCACACCTTGGCAGAAAAGCAGAAAGCCAGTCAGAACTCGCGCTGGTGGAAAAGCAGAAACTATCGACTGACCACCAGCGCGAGTCCTGATTGACTTCTGCCTTTCTGCTTGTCGGTCAAAGTGTAAATTTTCCCTAAACTCTATGAGAGTAAATTTTCCGTTACTTTTAAAAGTAACGAGACGCAACATCCATTTCGAAGTCTCACACGTTGAAGCCTGGCATTATCAAGACGATCTCTTTGTTTCTTTTCTCTTCATCTGTTGCTCGCAGATTTTTATCTTTTTCTATATCGATTAAAATGAATAATTAACTCCTTAAGTGATATTTAGCGTGAGAAAGTGTCGCGGTAAAATATCAAAATCTTTTTTTACTACTTTATTTAAGCTACTGTGGTACTTTTGTTAACTCAAATATAAATTAGCAAATACAAATTAAATATTTGATATCCTAATTTCACGTTTCTTCCAAGAAAATAGCAGTAAAGAAAGAAAGAATCCAGATATGCTTATTAAAATAAAAAGGGAGAAATCGCATAGTCATTTTGACAGCACTCAAGAAGTTAATAATGATTGATTAATATTTGTTTTATTCTAGCGCGTCTTTTACCCTTGGCCGTTGCCATATCGAATGTACAGTCCGACTGAACGAGACAGGGTCGTTGCTGAAGCAGCTCCACGCGCGTGGAACATTCTGTCTGCTGCGACGGTTCGACCATCAGCAATCTGGTCCGTAATTTCACGCCTTTGCCGCAGCTAGCACTACACGGCGACCAGTCGGACCAGTCCGTCACCTTAAATCGTCGTCGACCGTTAACTTATTATTTCAATCTTGATTCGTCTCACTTTGAGACAGCAAGAGAGAGAGAGAGAGAGAGAGAAAGAATGCGCACCTTGCAAAGCGGATCAATCTGCTCTTCCGTTCCCGACTGGCAAGGTGGCTCCATGCATTTCTCCTTCTCGATGATCGACACGAACGGGCAGAGTTTGCGACCTCGACGATCACGGAACCTTCTCGTTCGCATCTTCAAACCAACGCCGCACGTGTTCGAGCACTCGGACCATTCGCTCCATTCGGTGGTCGCGCAGCGAGGGTCGTTGTTCACTAACGACGTTACGTCCTCGCTTTCCTCCTCTCCCCTGAGGCAACAAACGAAGTTCCGATCACAATGTAGCGAAGATTAGATTTGCCTCATAAGAGAACGCAATTGGCCAAATCAAACGTTCGCAAAGTCGTCCTGACAGTTCGATTTCCACGGAGTCGTACTCCGCGCGTACGTTGATCTCTTTAGAAGGATTGGAACGTGTGTGTGTGTCCGCGCTCGCGAATTATTCATAGTGCACTCACGAGCATTCTGGGATAGACGCGACGCACATCTCCTTTGAGACCAGCTGCCTGTTACAATTGAACATCGTGGCTTTATCAGGCATTCTATATGACCTCGTGCGCATCCTTAAGCCCTTGCCGCAGCTCACCGAGCAGGATGACCATTCCGTGTACTCCGTCGTCTGGCATTCCGCTTAATTCGTAACAAAGACAAAGCCAAATTACTCCCTAAGCTTGTAGCTGTCTACGAATCGAAATTCGACTCCCTACGTTCAAATGTCACGATCGCTGACGAGTTAAGTGAACAGACAGGTGATGAGATAGATCGTTTTAGGAAATTGTTATATCTTAACTCTGCCATGTCAAGGAAAAAAGTGGCTAAGTCACAAATGTAGTTAACCACTTCTTTCTTTAGCACGGCAAATCTATGGCCTGCATACGTCTCGCCGTGTCTTCCGTGTTCTCGGCCACCTCCAACTCGGCCACCTGCTGCTGCAGAAGCTCCTCGCTGCACCCGCGCGGGATGATCTTCTCCCGATTTATGTACAACCTGGCCAGCGGCAGCATGGGCCTGCCGCTCGGGTCGTAGAACGGGGAACGCGGGTCTTCCGGATAGGAAGTCGTGATCGGCTTCATCTTCTCGCGCGGCCTCGTCTCGGAATTCGGCGACATGTAAGTGATGCCGTTGTCGGTGCCGGCGTCCCAAGGATACAGATCGACTATCATTCCCCTCGCCCAGCTGCAGTCATTCTGACAGAGGTTCAATTTGCTCACTCCCACCACCCAGTCTGGAGACGGACCCAGCATGGAAGCCACCGAGAGCAGAGGATGTCTGCGATCTACCCTGGAAACGCGAAGACGAAAAATTGCCCGACTTAATGTACAAGCAGAGGTCGCCATCACAGCTCAACTACTGCGCGTGATATTCGCCAATCTTCTTATATTGACTAATAACTTGAAATTTTACGTGATTATTCGCGAAACAGTAGAGGAATCTTGTGTTCAGTTTGATGAGTTCTACCTGCACGCAACGGCTGTGTCATTGATTGGTCAGACGTATAGTTTAGCAAAAATGTTCAATGTTTCGCGTGCTACAACGCGAGAGGCGTTTACCTAAAACTCGTCGACGTGTTGGTATTGACATTAGGATACCAAAGACCGGTAGCCTTAATAAGGGTCTTCAGTTGGTTGGCTTTCGCTCTTAGTTCCGTTTCGACACCCGTCGCGGAGCCCCATTCAGCTAGTTGTCGAAAACCATCTGTGGCGATGTGATCTCTGCCCCAGAAGGAGAAATTTGGCTCGTGAGATGCGCCGATAACGTCGCTGAAGTGTGTCAGCCAGGCGGAAAAGGGGAAGTCTTTCGGATGAGTTCTATTCGACCAGATGCCCTCCATAGTTAGCTGAAAAAAGTGCGCAACGCAAGATGCTTCGAGTATCTATGGTTGTTGTATCTTCCATTCTCCTGTTAGCGCAACTGTGGTAAAGTAAGTAAGAGAAAGCACCCAGTAGCCGGAACTTGTTACAGCACTTAGCAGTTTTTAGCACCTTGCTCGGATCTCGTCTAATATCAAGGGATTAATTTTATTAATTAATTATTTATTAGTTATTTATCAATTATTATTTATTATTTACTTATTCTTTTAAATCTTCCCATATACTTTAACTCTACGACAATATTCGCGCAGGAGTGCCGGAAGCAAGTAGAATATCGACTATTGGAGGTTTTCTTGTACCTTGCCTCACGTTCTGCTACGAATTGAAACAAACATAAAAGTAAGGAGGCTATTTACGAATACTGGAAAGAAGACACTTCTTGATTGTACACTCAGAGTCTCCACATATCAGTTCATTAATAATATTGGCAACGTCCGCGCGATTATACCAGGATTTTCCGCAGCTCTCACCGAGTATTTCGCCTCGTCGCAAGCGCAGCACCTGGTCTCGTTCGAGTTCTCGATTTCGACGCTCGTAGACTCGCAGACGGTCTTGGAGAGCGTGCCGTCTTCGGCGTACCATCGCACGTTGTTCTCCAAAACCATTGCGGTGAAGATCACGCATCCGGCACCGGCGGATGGCGCCCGCCACATCACTTGGATCTGCCGAATCAAGTTTTCACGCGTTCATCGTCGATTGACGCGATTTTCGCGAAGCGTTATGAGTGTTTGGGCAAGTGGATATAAAAAAAAAAATGGAAAAAGAGGAAACTCCGCTTAAGAGCTTCCGCACGATTTGCGTGTAACTCGCACCTCCGACTTTGGGAAATCGGTGGCCTCGGAGATGGTGTTGATACAGTCCTCGTTAAAGGCAGTCAAGGTGTCCGGGAACAACTGGAAGTAACCGATGCGTGCCGCGTGATTATTCGGCGCATGCTGCGAATGCACCGTTAGCGTGAAGCGCGTGAACTGTTGCAGCCTCTCGTGCGTTTGCGAGCCTGAAATTCCACGTCGTGAGACCCAACGTGACAGCGCGATACCCCGCGTTCAGCCACGAGAAAAATTCGCGATTCGTTCCGCGATACCATCTACCCGTTTACGCTTAACTCGCCCTGATGGGCGCCTTAATGTCAGACAAAGCGTGCAACCTTGCAGACTAATCGTGTAGACCGCGTTGGGAATGTAGCCGTTCGTCTGTCCGCTGATGAGGATCCTGTAGCCGCCGTCGCCCGGTGTTCTCGGAGCGGAAGTTTGCTCCACCGTCGGCCTCATGGGACACCCGGCGTGAGACACGGCCAGGAAGCATGCCGTCAGTATTAAGAATAACATTTTGCAATCTGAAAAATTGCGGTATCTCATTGATATCTTCGATCACTTTCTGATGGATTTATGCTCTTGATATATTCGACACGATCAATAATAATAATAATTTTTATCGAGTCTATTGAGAGTGTAATCACTCACATTATTTGACATGAGTGCAACTCTCAAAGAAACTCATCCTTAGCGAAATCCTTTTATAGTCTCAAGAGGATTCTTTGAAAATCAAAAGAAAAGTATCAGCACAATATTGTTTCTTTTTACTGGAAAAGAAACATTTTCCCGACAAAAAGTTTTTGTTTAGAGAATGTAGTATTAATGGAAATAGAATATTTTGCAGCTAGAATTCTTTTTTATTTTAGTGCTAGAATATTTTCCTTTTGGTTTCAAAAGAATCCTTCTGACGTCATACATAAGAATATTCCATTAAGCGTGAGATTATATTTCTTTGAGAAGAATTGCTCAGTATTTTTGTTGAATATAATATATATTGAGTATATGTTGAGTATATGTTAAGTATATGTTGAGTATTAACATCAAGAGTAGAATATTTCAAAAGAACTTTGCACGACACAAACGATCGTTATCTTTCATTACGCGATATCGTCATAACAAGTGTCGCATCACTATGAAAGTTAGCGATAATTATTGTCGTAATTATTGTCGTGCGGCTTGCGCACGAGGTCGCCGTGCGTAATTCGTTCCCGCGAAATCCGCAATACCAGAACGGCATTCCGACGAGTTATCCTTGAATTCACGCCTCGCTCAGTTTCCCGCGGAAATAGCTGTAATTTGACAGCGTCGCGAGAAACCGGGGCCGCGAATCTCGGCCGATCTCTCACAAGTGCCATTGTTAGAATTCGTCCGAAGCGGCGAGCGGGTCAGGTCGAGCGCAGCCGAACGAGACCCGCGAAGATCTCTTGGCGCGTTAATATCGTCGGACCCGGGACTCGAAATGGCAAATCGCCGCAGGAATACCTTGTGCTACATAGGGCCGCGAAGTGGCGATGTATAATCGCGCGCGGATCGCAGTCAAGCATCGATTACGCAATCCTGCGAACGGAGAGCGGAGATTGTAATTGCGGACGAATCGCAATGTTAGGCAATGTCTCCTGGGTCTCTCGTCGGTGGGCGGCTAAGCGAGAAGGGCCGGGAGGCCCTGGAATGAGGATACACGCGAGAAAAAAGATTTGGTTGGCTGGGTGAAACCAAGTGTCTGGTGAAACGAATCGAAGTTTATGTCACTGTTGTTCTGTGTTCAAGTTAAGGGCCGTGGCACACAGAAAAACTTAAGCAGTAAGATGCAAGCAGTAAGCAAATTGACCAATCGTTGATTCTTGGACCGTAAGAAAAATCAGAACTGTGATTGGTCACAGTTATTGCTTACTGCTTATGTCTTACTGCTTAAGTTTTTCTGTGTGTCACGGCTCTAATCCTTTCGCTGTCAACGGGACACATTTGTTCCGGGACATATGTTTTCTTCACATTATTAGTGACAACCTTATTTGATTGAATAAACAGCTTTCTTGGCATTTAGAACACTTCAGCTATCACCTTTAGTTATCACCGCCGGGACCTCCCAGAAACCCCAGTGAGACGTCAGCGTCTCTTTTGATTTTTCTGCTAAAACTACATTATATTAATGTATTCAATGAAGTGAAAGCAGAAAAGATATGTAATCTTTAAAAAACAAGGTTGGTAACGAAAGGGTTAACAAGATTCTGGTTGATCAGAACTGTTCCAGCCGAACAGCTGCAAGTTCTGCTTGACCAGAAAAATGTCGTTAAACTGAAGAGCATTCTGGTAATCTGAACCGGAATTTCGGGTTCGCGTTCGTATTACACCAGACACTTGGTTAATCCAGCCAAATTCTTTTTTCTCGATCGAGGCCGTGCGTCACCGTGCTGATAACCGTGACAATTCCGGATGACGAATGAACTTGTTATTCGTCTCTCTCCTTTTTTTATCGACGCAGCGCCGATCGAAAGCACACAGACTAGATCTCTCTCCGATCCCGACGGCGATGTCGAAACCGATCGCGCGCGAGTTCAACGACATAATATAATGGCTATTGCGTACATCATTCGCGACTAGCGATACTTGATTCGCGTGACGACAATGGGGAAGGTATTTTTCTCGTATCGCAGAAAAGGGATCGTGAGAATGTTAATTACCGACTCTCGCGAGTCTCGCCCGCAAGTCGCGTTTTTCGCGAAACGGAGGAGAGCGAGAAGGAGGAAGTGGAGGCGGGGAATAATCATGATTGAGTTTCAACGTATTCCCCTCGATGATCGATTGTCACCATTCGCGCTCCCTTCCTCCTTTTTATCGCGGATCAAACGATATCGCGTGACCAGCTCTCTGCTTGGCAAACTCGCGAAAATTTATGATAAGAGTGCGATCGCGTGCGAGAGATTAAGCCGCAGATTGAGATTACGATCCGTGTCAAGATGCACGGCCAGTCATTGTCTGCGATTATCGCAATTAATGGACGTCCTCGCCGTATAATAAGATACTTCTATCATGGAGACTTGAGCGAGAACGTTTCAAACCGCACGACAGGCAGAAATGCCTCAGGCTGCCGACCCGCTCATTAATTCTAAGTGAATACCGCGTCGTTTATTGATTATTAACAGGATCCATAAGGACAATACGAAAGAGAGCCATCACAAGTACGAATGCATGATGAATGTGTGGAGTGTCCTTTAAATTCTTTCGAGCCAATTTCACTGAACAAGTGGAGCCACGCGAATTCGAGTGACTTTTCGCTTATACAGAGCGGAGTTCTTTCCTCTGAATTGTCGAGTGCATATCTTCAGGTGAAATTGAAGAACGAATTTGATGCACTCCGCAGAAGTATATTCATTCTCTAATCGATACGTAAAGTCAGAATCCACTCTAAACTTGGGTGACACACATTCCACTCTTACGATTTCGAGTGGCGATACTTCCGCCATCGCCTCGAGTGAAGGTATACCGTCACTCTTCACTCACTTTGAGATTCCAAGAGAAATTCAGGGAGTAAAGCTTTCTGAGCTCTCTTTTATCGATAAGAGTGTCTGTCCTAAAAGTGTCTCTATGTGTCACTTCTGTTTGACTTTCAGTTATATTTAAATATATTTTTATCGATAAAAGGGAGTTTGTAAAATAAGGGCCTTACTCTCGAAATTCTTTCGAGTAGAATCTCATTCGAAACGAATAAAAAATTCGGAATAAGTGAACGAGAAAAATCGGCAAGGAACGATTTCTCCGCAAGAAAAATTGACCAGAAGCAACATTTGCGTATTTGATTGTGTAATGTTCTCTCTGTCTCTCTCTCTCTCTCTTTCTCTCTCTCTCCCTCTCTCTCTGACTATGTTTATATTTCTTTCTTCAGCACTATCTTGGATCAGTTCATGCTTATTTACATGCAGACTTTATTTAGACTTTCCGCATCCGCATAAGTTATCAGCGGCATAAACTGTCATATATTACTGTGTAATTTTATAAATTTCCATTTCTACCCATAATGTTAAGAGGGATCTCCCCGTTAATTAATTAACGAATTAATTAAATAAAGAAATAAAATAAATATCAGACAAACAATGGTTGATCGAAGAGAGGTCGACGTCCGCCTTGCGATTTCTCGCGAAGCCAAGCGCAGATTTTGACGTTTCGCGGCGGCAGAAGTTCTCGAGAAGTTTTCGAGAAATCGCTCAGAGATCGTGTCGCTGCATCGCGTCGCGGTCACACGCGCGCACGCAAGACGCTGCGCGTGCCGCGTGTCCGACGCTCGATGCATCTGATTACGGCCCCGGGTAGCTGGGAACTGGGTCGGGACTCATGCCAATCCACTCCGACCGGCTTTCGAGATCGGCACTCTCGGCCACGTAGGTGTAGGTTTCTAGAACGCTAGTCGGCGACGCGGACGAGAAAGAGCAGCGGCGACCACGACGATGACGACGACACGCGACCTCGCGGGCCGGAAATTGCGGAATGCAACGCGCTGGATGCATCTCGTGACACGCTGGCGCGTGGCAGCGAAACGTTTCGTCTATCCGGAGCTTCCGTAGGCGGAAGTGCTACGTTTTACCTCGCGACGCGAGAGATAAACGGGAATTCGCGTTTCTCGACGTCTCGAGGGAGCTGAACGCACGAGATCGCGTCGCGTGCGTTTGAAAGAACGCGCGCTGTTGATGAAAGAACGGCGGGCATTCGCGGGCGCATCGAAGATATCGCGAAAGTGAAAGACTTCTCGCGCGTCGTTGTCGTCGTTATCGAAGGCGCTCAGCTTCGTCACTGCGATTAAGTTTATTTGCGATCGACATGCACACATATACGCACACATAGAATAATTGTCCATGTCACTTTCTATTTAAATAAGCCAATGAATAAACCAATAAATTCAAATAAGCCAATAAATAAGCCAATGAAAAAACTAGCGCAAATAAATAGAAAAAGTATTTCTTCAAATTAAATTAATTCAACTTAATAAAAGTACTCTTTCTATTTATTTGCGCTAGTTTTTTCACGACTTATTTAAATACAAAAGTTAACAAGGCAAAGTAATATGGACAATTACTCTATCTGTTTCCACGACGAATGACGAGCCGATGGCTGACAAACAACTAAACGTCGTCGACAGGCGTTTCCGCGGAGCGTGCGCGGATGAATTTCAGCATTATTCATCACTGTCGATCACCTCCCGATCCCATGTCCTTGTTCGCGCGCTTTTTACGCGCGCCTCGTAATCGATGCCGTAATCGATGTTCACTTTCACGGTTTCACTCTCGCGGGCGCGTTCGTGTGTCGCGCAATTAATCGCGGATTTCGCCGCACGCCCAAAATTGTCTATCGGCGTCGAGGCCCGACGGCGAAGACGGCCGCCGCGTCTTCACGTGCACACGCGTGAAAACTGATGCATATACGCGACGCCAGCCGAACAGTCGGACGTCGCCCCTACTACGTGCGCTCGCGTGGGTGAATTTACGCGTGTTACCGTGCATTCGTACAACGCTCGCAATTAGCGGAATAATTAAGCTCTAACGGCTCGATTACACAGGCAGCGGCGAGCCGCGACCGCGCGTCCGTGGCGCACGATCATGTTTTGTCTGTCGCGCAGGCCGCATTTATCGGCAGCTGCGAGTGGTTAATTAATTTGCGTTTTCATTTCCCACGATTATTCGCATCTCGATACTTTGTCTTTGGTAAAAATGGACACAGTTTTGCCAAAGACGAACGGACAATTGTGCCTAACTTTTGAGAAACGTATTAGTGATTTCTTCCCTTTTAAAAATTATTACTATATTTTAAAAGAGAGATTATATTTTTCAAAAGAAAAATATCCTACTATGCAAGAGATTCAAAAGAAAAAATAAACTATTATACTACTTTTTAAAAATAATATTGACATAACACTTTATTTTTTGAAAAATATTGATATAAGAGTTTATGTTTCTTTTGAAAAATATTGATACAATAGTATACTTTCTTTTAAAAAATAGATCATATTGTTTCTCTCCCAATCCCTCTTTCTTCCTTATTTCCTTTTCTCTCTGTTACAGACGTGTGCATGCGCGGTTTCATTGACTTCTAGCTTTATTTTTAGTGTATTTCTGGTGCCTTATCGCGAGCTTAATCTCAAGATCTTATCTTTAACGAAGATCATATTCATTACATATGAATGACTATCCACAGCTATGACTCTATTAGAACCAGCGTGGTTACATTTGCATTTGATAACGGCGTTCTGGCACGTAGGGAATAATTATACGGGCACATACGCCGCGAGGTCTTTATGACTCTTGGCCATCTTTCAATTTTAACGAGCCCTAATGCAAACACACGCGGTAATTCAGCTCGCAGCCCTGCTCGTTATTCATCAAGCGCCGAGATTTCGCGAGAATCGTTATCGAATGACCGGGGAATATTCCGCCGCGACTCTATCAAGTCCGATTGATTCATCGTAATTATGTATGCTTAGTCGCAAAACAGTTCAGACACAATGAGCCTGGAGTCTCGCCAAATTGCAAAATTGCAAAATTGAAAGTCATCATTGGCGGGCTTGAACAGTAACTATTGATTATTGCTATTATCATCCATTATTGTTTAATATTATTAATTATATTATTGCTGAACGACTTTCAAATTTAATAGTTGGGTGGGCCCGCAACTTCACTGAATCGTTCTGCAGCCAACTGTATGTATTTCCGAAACGTACTTCTTTTTTTATAATAATCACGACGTGTCTTAAGGACCACTGAATGTCTTATTAACAACTCACGTGCAAAGTTCAACATGTCAGAGCCTCCAGGAAATCCTTCAAAGTGGCGGTTGCGTTTGTTAATTCACCGACTGTTTCACGACGTGAGCGCGAATCGATATCGTTCGTTTCGTGCAGATCCCTTTCATCCCTTAAAACAATAAACACGATCGCCCGGCTTTCAATTAAAAACTCACCAACGGGCGGGCATACTTCGTACGCGCACTCTTTCCGGCGGTTGTTTTCTATTCGGGCACAAAAAGACGCGATCGTTCACTCGGCGATTACTGCTGGCGACGCGATTCTCCCGCGGGAAGCAGACACGTTCGTTTCGTGCAGGAAGAACCGGAAGCGCGCGCGTTTATCGAGCGGATCCTCCTCGGTCATAATTCGCGGAATGGCGGGACGCCGCGGCGCGCGGCTACTTTTATGACGGCGACCCTTTCACGCGGGGCGCTTCGCGGGGTGCTTACCTGGCCGCGGTGAAATCTGCTACGGTTTGCGTCCGATTGCTTAACGATCGCGGCGCGAGAACGCACGATCGGGGATCCCACGGAACGTGAAGTCGTCTCTGTGCGAGAGATGACGGTGCGCGAGAAACAAGCCAGGTATCCGCCAGGTCGACGATAATCATGACGACACCGATACCTCGAACCGATACCGCCGTTGTGGAAAGACAATTATACGAATATTATATGAATAATCACATACCTAATCGTATAGAACGATAGCCGCGCGAACATAGAGGATCCGCAATTCCGATAACGCTAACCACGTCCAAGTTATAATGTCGGCTTTTCATAATGCTAACAATGTTATTAATCACTGTGCGCGCGGTCAATCGCACGGATCGAGCCGAGCGAGATTCCCATTTAGATTGGACACCGGCGAATCGCCCGGAGATGAGCGCGTCTCTCGTTCACATTGCAATTAACGTAGATGCAACTTCAATAACGCACAGATTAGTCATAGAAACACCTGCCTACGCGGTGCATTCTAACGCGCTCGATCATCGGTTGGATACTCGATGGTTGGTACTCACCAAGTGGACCTCGAGATGCCTGCGAATGCCGTCGCCGGACAGATCGATAGTGGCGATCGACGGACGTGCAGTACGCCGCGCTGGATCCCAACCGGCGGCGGTACTCGGAAAGTATTATCGGGAGTCAGGAGGTCGGTTTTAGGTCAGCGTATATCGCATCAGGTTCTGACGCCTTTGCGATAGTGCGGAAATGCTCACGATAAACACCCACAGGCGCGACCGTGGATCTTCAATCGCGCTGTCGCTTCTGTTTTCCTGCGTTCTTTTCGCAATCCACATCGAAGCTCTAACTTCGACTTTTGCCCCGGCTTCAGTTTTGTCTTCAGCTTCTCGAAGCGACTGTTACCTCAACTTCACGAGGCTCATCAATGCTCCTGGATTAACATCTAATGATCAATAACATGGACGCGTCGAGTAGGGCAGACCGGTTTTTAATTGTCACGCTTCTTACGTACTGATTAAAAAGAACTCATATAATATGTCTAAAATCAGGATATAAGATGTCTAAAAGATGTCTTAAAAATGTCTTTCAGACGTTTTTACAATGTCTTTAAGACGTCTTTAAAACGTCTTTAAGATCCCTTAATTTGAATCAACTTAAGTTAAACGGTCATTTGGGTTAAAAGAGGTTACATTTATAAATTATGTTGCTGTGTGATTGTCAATTAAATGCAGGAAAAATCAGCTAAACGTATAACATTTCTTACATCTGAAGAGAAATTGTGACCAGCAATTTCAAAGCAATTTCAAAGTCAACGGATAAAAAATGGAGACGAGAAAAAATTTACTCACAGCGTTCAATCTTGGAAAAGTGCTTGGAAATATCACATGTGATGCTTCTGTCATAAGCCATTTCGTATACCTAACTACGATGCAAGCAACCTACTATATTACAAAGAAAAACATGTCTTTCCATTTATCACGTGAGATATAAACTTTATGACACTTGACTTGTGTGTGTGTGTATGACTTCTAAATTCTCCTCTATTTCGGACACGCGACGGGAGGACAAACAGGACGACATGAGTATATCCGCAATCAATTCTTAGTTAACAAAATTAATCAGCATTTCAGGGCAAATTCATACCTTGGCAGAAAAGTGAAATCAGAATGAAAATAACAGAAGTCAGACAGAATTCGCGCCAGTAAAAAAAGCAGAAACTGTCGACTATTACCTGATCACCAGCGCGAATTCTGATCGGCTTTTTCTCGGTTCTTCTGCCAAGGTGTGAATTCGCCCTCAGCGTCACTGAAAGAGCCTCAAGTATGCCTCGAGTCTCCACGTCGGGTTTCGTTCGAATATCGCGCCTCGGCAACGATGACAGCAACGACTGACGCACGCATGCGTCATATTATCGACGAACGCGCTCGGCGCGGTCAGTCGCGGCCGAGCCGCGCCGCGCGAGGTGTACATGGAGTTGACGTTTCTTCCTCTCCCTCAACCTCCTCTCATCCTTCTCGTCTACGACGCACCGCGTCCAGCCGCGCGCTTCTCACCGACCGCTGCGACTTTCGGATGACGAAATGGGAACGTCGTGAGAGAGAGAGAGAGAGAGTGAGATCTCCTCGTCACCGTCCGCAGCGTTCGCCGTCTTCGTCCCGGAGCGATTCTCCGAGCGCGCGCCGGTCTCTCGGTAGCCAGCATCACGCCGCTCCCGATCGGCCAAGGACGCCCCGTAAACACGGCGACGCAGCCAGGTGTAGGAGCCGCAGACGGCCGCGAAGCGCGAGGTGAAGCGGGACGTTGAACGGGAAAACGTCGCGGCTGACTCATCCAGCTCCGAGCATGGCGAGCTTGGCGAGCAGCTCGTCGTCGGGCTTGACCAGAGCACCGACGATGTTGGAGCAGCTACTCGAGGAGATCAACTTCCAGAGGACGAAGGAGCTCAGGCAGATGCTGAAGGATGGTTGGTATACGACCGGCTCCGGGAGCGCACAGTCGGTCGGCTTGTTTGTATCGTTAAAGGGGTGACCGTCGCACGCGCGCGCGTGTGTGTATGTGTGTGACGCGACGCTCTGCGTGAGTCGACGGTGAGAGTGCGCGCGGGCGACTTAGGGTGTGCTCCGGACGAATAATGTAGAGAGTGTTTCACTTTCGAGGGGTTGACTGACCGTCACGACGAAATAGGTAGACTTGTCTCGCGCTCTCCAGCCGTTCCCGCTGGGACTCTTGGGAGACGTTTCGAGCGATTGAATTCGGCTTCTTCCTTCGTCGCGATTCTCTTGAACCGTTCTGCAGGATTCCCGAATACGCTTCGTATTGAAGAAGGAACGAAAACTCGCGCCGTGTCTAGTTTATTGTTGTTTCTTGCGTCTTCTATTTATCTGTTTGGTTTTCGTAGACTTTCTAACGATCCAGGGGGAGTGCAAAGGGATGGATTTTGATTTGAATAATCAGGTGCTGTGATTCGTTCGTTCATATGTCTCAGAGTTTCGAAATTCTCAAGCGACGTAGACGAGGAGGAAATTTCCTCGGGGGTTGTTTAGCTTGACTTCGCCAAGACGTCATCCCTTTGAATACATTACGTTATAATGAAGACCACTTTATCTCGCCCCCTTGTTCACGTAGTAGAGATTGATGAAGTTTCCGTTAATCGTTTCAATTAACCGTACGTT